TATTATTATTATTATTATTATTATTATTATTATTATTATTATTATTATTATTATTATTAACACGCTCTGATGCTAAGGAGTTCTACTCCCCCTCCCCACCTGAAAAAAAGAAATCTGTTCCAAATGCAAAACACAAGCAGAGGAGTTTCACTTTCACTTTCACAGCAGCACCAAGCAACTTTAGTGCAGAACAGTTGAGCTAAGCCACACCCAGGCTCCTTGCTGTCTCCTTCTTGCTCACACAGCAAATACCCTTTCAGTTTCCAAACAACCCTCAACTCTCTCACATACTGACAGGACACTAGCCAGGTGAATACCGATGGATGCTGGTAGGCAGAGGCAGAATTCCCCCCCCCCTTATTTTCCTCCTCCAAAACTAAGCCCATCCACGTAGTTTTGTAGCGAAGCACGGGTACAGAGCTAGACTGAGAATATACTAAGTCTTAAAACGAGTACAAACTTTTCGGTGAGAAACACGAAGAAGGGAATCCTATGCCGTTTGTTGAAGACAGTTATATGCAAACCATCCCTTTGATCACTGGTTTTAGGTGAACTGCTGGATCTGGGGATAAAAACGGGTGTGGATGCTTATGACTGATTGAGAATTACTAAAACTTTGATAGAAAGAAATATAATTGAACAAAAGTGAAGGGAGAAATAATGAGAAATTTGGAAAAGATATATATGTGTAAATGGAAATGTGATAATGTGGAACTATGTTTTTAAAAAATAATGCTTTATTTGCCTTGTTAAAATTTATAAGTAATTCTTAGAAAGGAGGTTTTATACTTTTATGTGTTATGTTTTGTTTGTCTTCAAAAATCAATAAAACTTGTTCTTAAAAAAAAAAAACGGGTGTGGATGAACGCTCTTGAATCTCTTGGACTTAAAAGGAAGGGTGGGAAACTTGCCAGCCCTCCTAAATGTGGCCATATAATGATGATATCCGCAGGGTATAAAGTAAGACATAGATGGCGAAAAATACTGTTTGAAGGGAAGATTTAGTCCCCAGTGAAGAGGGCCAGGTCTTCCTTCTATGGAGATTCTCGTTCATCCCAGGCAGGGGTGGGATTCAGCCGGGGTTACTTCCGGTTTGGTGACTACGTTTTTGACAACCGTGACCTGGATGACTGAAAATCTCCCTAGGTGGAAGGCGCAATCCTTGCTTTTGGCAAAGATTCTTACAGAAAATGCTAAGAATTCCCTGGCCCAGACGGGAAAGTACTTCTTCAGCAAAAAGATACTTTCAGCGACATGAAGATTAGTTCAGGTTCTAGAAGAAATATCTTGAATGGGAAGTCTCGCTTAGAAGAGGAGCCAGTTAAATGTGCTGAACAACAAGGGAGAGAGTAAGGGGAAAAACATTACTAGTTGTGTTCCTATCCTGACTATTTACTTACAGTGGGATTATTTGTCTCAGTGGAAATCCTAGGTGATGGTTGATTATAGATCCCAAGGCTTTCACTCTGATATTAAACTATTTAAATGATGCATTTGCGTATATATACACGCATGATTTCTCCTTAGCTTTCATGGAACGGACTGACTGTGTCATTGCTTAAACATGAGCTCTGTAGGACTTGAATGAAAAAACCAAATGTATAAAATTGATGGATTATTGATTGGTTGATTGATTGATTGATTCATTCCTTTGGTCGTTCTCTCTCCGTCTTAGGAAACCTTATACGTCTGGAATGAACCCAAGTTCTGTATAAAAGGGGTTTCCTTGCCTGAGAAAAAGATTATAATCTGTGAAACGGTGGATTTCTGGCTGAAAGTCGGTGCAGGGGTTGGTGCCTTCACAGGAGTCCTGCTCATTGCCTTAACTTGCTATTTCTGGAAGAAAAATCAGAAGTGAGTCCTATACGTCCTTTTTAAAGGAGATACCGAGTTGATCCGCTGATTTTGCAGAGTTAAATCCATCAGTTCAGAGTTCTGGGTTTTTCTGGCTTTCTAGATCTCTTGTTCTCAGCTGACAAGAGTTTCTGGGGTGCCTCTTTTTATCCTTTCCCCCCAAATTAATAATCTCATCTTCTTCTGCCCTTCCCCCCAATTTTTGTCATTAAGAAGAAATCCTAGCCAAATCAACAAAGCCACGTTTAATTAGATCTCACCCCTTGCTGCAGCCTCACCAAGGCATAAATTTACAATTACTTTGGGGTCTCCGAGCTTTGTGATTTTCTTGCAGATGCTTCATTACCAAACTGGGTAACGTCATCGATGTACTTATAATTGCTTTGCTTCCTGCCTGTCTGAGAGGCAGCTTGTCCTCCCGTTGGTGGAGAGTTGCATTGGCCCACCTCCCCATTCCTGATCTCCCACCACTAGTTTGGCATATTGCCTTGCTAAAGGAGCCAACCTGCAGGATTTTTGCCATCTTGCAACATAAATTATACAGGAGGGGGAGGAATGGCCCATGAAGACACCCCCAAAGTCTTCTGTGCCTTTGATCTACAACATATATTTGTATTATTTTGTTTCTGAATCTGGTACGAAGTTCTGCTCAGTTGTATTAAAGATCAACCTGAAGAATCTTTTCTTATCTCACTGGATAATACCTCCAGGTATAGTCTGTGCGAGTTGACAAGATTGCTTCCTTTTTTATTATTAGTTTATACTATAACATAAAATAAAAATTAGTAGGAAGATAGGGGAGGGAGAAGGGAAGAGAAAAGGGGAGAAGGAAAAGGGGGAAAAGAAAGAAAAAGCGTTGGATTCTGACTTCCTTTGGGGCAGTAGAAAAAGATGGTAGCATCAAAGCTCAACCTTTTACTTTTACAGAACAGTGTAAACTAGCCATTTCCACAGTAACAAACCTAACAAATTGGTAAAACCCCAAATCAACATTTCACTTTTTCCACCTCAAGCACAAAGTCCAGAAGCGGTTTCCAAGAAGAAACAAAATAATTGTGTGTTTTTTTCTTTAATAAGAAGCATAATTTCTGAAGCTGAACTTTGATAAAGTAAAGTACAAATAGCATACGTCTCCGGAACTTAAAATATATTATCCACTTAACTTTTGTTAGCCTCTGCTAACATCATTTTTCTTTATATTCTCTTCTTTTATAACTACACCCGGAACTCGTATTTTTAGGATACACACACACACACACACACACACACACACACACACACACTTAGCAGTTCATTGAAGCCACCAAATAGGCTCTGTAGCAAAGGTATCCAAACTATGGCAACTTTAAGACTTGTGGACTTCATCAGGATCTTCTGACATATATAAGTTCTGTCTTAACTTTACAAAGAGGTAATAAAGATCTTTTATTATTTAGTAAAAAAAAATTTAAGAAAATGAAAGAAAAACTAGCCATTTCTACAATGACAAATCCATCTAATTGGTCAAACCCCAAATCCAGGATTCAGTTTTTTTCCCCACCTTGAGCACAAAGTCCAGAAATGGTTTCCAAGCAGAAACAAAAGTGATTGTGGTTTTATTTATTTAATCAAAGCAGTCAGTTTAGCCACAACGTTGCTTCTGTCTGTATTGGTTCCTGCAGATTGGAGTATAAATATTCAAAACTGGTGATGACGGCCAATTCCAAGGAGTGTGAGCTTCCGGCTGCCGATAGCTGTGCTATCATGGAAGGAGAAGACAACGAAGAGGAAATTGTGTATTCGAATAAACAGTCCTTGTTAGGAAAACTCAAGTCCCTGGCCACCAAGGTAAGCACGGGAGAGAGAATTCTGACTGCAGAATCGACACCGTAGAATAAGCGAGGGGAAAAGGCGGGTGGATTGCCAAAATAGGTAGTAGCCCTCCTCTTACAAACCACTTCTTTAGTGACTGTTGGAAGTGGCCACAGCAGCGAAAAAATGTGCCCGACGACTGTTGCTAAAATTGCAGCATCCTCACAGTTGGAGTCTTCCGATGGGACCTTCTCTGTTGGCTTCCAACAAGCTCTTCTGACCTAGGTTTCCTTAGCAAGCATAACACGCAATCTCTGTCCCGGCAAAACCTCTTTTATTCCACGGCTGTGAATTACATTCATTCACAAGGCTTCACATAGAGTCTTTCAGGGGAATGTTGATAAACACCCACCTTATGGCACTTGGAGTGTGGCCAGAGAACTAACTGCCTGACACAGGGCAAGGGCAAACTTGGCACAGAGTCAAACAGAACTTTCAGAGCTTGAACCGACCAGATGAAACAATTGCTTCCTGCAAAAGCTCACATCCCCTTTGCTCCTCTTTTGTGTCCTGTGGGAGGGGCCAATCATCTCTGAGGTGTGGCTTTACTCCTGACTGACTCTGCTTTCTCAACTGTTCTTGTCTTCTGGTAGCCCTGCGCATGCACAGGCTGGAAACTGGCTCCAGAAGCTCCTCCACCTCACTTCTGTCTGAACCCAAAGGCAGCTGCTGACTGCCAGCCTGCCCTGGCCCCATCCCTGCCTCCGATGCAGAGCCCTCATCCGAGCCTTCCTCAGCCTCCAAGACCGGCCCAGGTTCCTCCCCAACCTCCTCACTACTGTGTTGACTCTGCTGCCAGCTCCGTCAGCTGCTGGCAGGCCACAACACAAGCAAAGTCAATAGGGAAAGTAGGATTTGCTTAATGACCACAATAAACCTAACAACGGTATTGATTCACTTACCAGCCGTGTGCCAAAAAGATAATAAAATCTGTTGTGACTGACTTAGCAAGCATCTCACTTAGCAATGGGAATTCCAGTCTCAGTTCGGGCCACCTGTACAGAATATTTCCTCAATAAAACGGGTTATTGCGCAGTGCAGCTTTGTAGGAAAACATCCTCTGTGCTCTCCTTTTATTATTTCTTAAGGTACAAATCTTGTCTCTACTTTTTGTGATTGTTCCCCCCTCTTTCTCATTGGTTATTTTCCCCTTTTTAACTTGAGGGAGCTGGAACTTTTCCTTCCTGTAAAACGATGGTGTCACCATATCCCTCTAAACTTCAAAGCAGCTTCCAGAAAATCTTTGGAAATCTATTTAACATTTAGACAAGGAAGCATATTCCAAATGGAATGTTTTCACAGGAAATGAGTGAGCGGGATACAAAGTTGTACTTGAAAAATAATTGCTCCCCCCCCCCCCCCCGATGTGTGATAAGTATACAAACTAGATACTAAATGTAACATTTAGAAACGCAGTCCTTGCACACAGATAGACACACACGGCTCTATGCGAGAGTCAATATTTTTGTAGTGCTTTCCCCTATTATGAAGAGCCGTGGTAGCACAGTGGTTAGAATGCAGCATTGCAGGATAATTCTGCCCACTGCCAGCGGTTCGATTCTCACTGGCTCAAGGTTGACTCAGCCTTCTGTCCATCCAAGGTTGGTAAAATGAGGACCCAGGTTGTTAGGGGCAACTTGCTGACTCTGTAAACTGATCAGAGAGGGCTGTAAAGCACTGTGAAGGGTTACATAAGTCGAAGTGCGATTGTCATTTTTGTAGTCTTGCTGGAACTACACTTCTTTGCGGTACGCTACACGAGGGAGGGGCCCTTTTGCTTGATTGCTCAATTGGAGGATCCAGTGATGGATCAGTGACCCCCTTCAAACTTCTTTCTTTTCTGACCTAGGAAAAAGAAGACCGCTTCGAATCTGTCCAGCTGAAATCCTCCAGATCTCAAAATATATGAAGGCTCGGTTTTGCCCGTTGTGCCCAATTTCTGTTTCCAGGGGACCAATTTTTCAAACTCGTGCTGAGACCCCATCGGAGGATTGGCTTCCTGGGTGAGAAACGTTGAGCGATGGGCAAAGGAAGCAACAGAGAAAGAGAAGAAAAGAGAGAGGGGGAAAGAGGAGACACTGCCTTATTGTGAGACTCAGTTGCCAAAAGCAAAGCCAGCCCTTAGCATCCTACAGCTGTGGCTCAACTCAGGGAATGAGGAACTATGACGGCGTAGCCCGTTGGGTTGGCTCAGAGGCAGAAAATCTGCATGGCGTTTCCTTAAAATATACAGTAGCAAGAAATTGAGAAACCGACAGTTTTCTGCCCTCCCTGCTCCCTCGGTTGCCATCCTCCGTTCCAAACGTTGCTTCACTCTGTCCTGGGAGAGAAGGTCCTACCTGAAGCCAGGTAGAGGCCTACCTGTGCATTGCTCTGGCATGGCCGATGCTGCTTCTCAGTATCCCTCAAGTTCCCTGCTGTCACTCATGTCAAACTGCTTGAGTTCTTAGAACATGACCAGGCTCCGCCGGATGAGCTGGGAGGGGCCGCGTTGAGTTTTTGTCTTGAAATTGAAACATCCCTCAATGCTTGAAAGAGAGGAAAGGTTCCAGTCTCATCTTTGGAAAGGGTTTCCACACACCCCCTCAACTTTGGCAAGGAAGATGCTTGATGCAGAAAGCCAAGGCGGGGTCTTGGTGAAGGCTGGGAATCTAGTTTCTCTCCAGCAGAAGCAGCTAAATCTACCTGCAGATACGTCCGGGGGATGGACGACAGTGTCATTCTCTATGGGGTTATCCAGAAGGGCCCCGCTACCCCTCTGCCTTGGATGGGACGTGTTCCATAACAAGAAGGATCGGAGACCTGGTGCAGCTCACACCCAAACCCACTGGCTTTACACAACCCCTTCCTTATGGGGGCTCCTTTCCCCGTGATTTTGTTGCTTTGCTTACACCTTCATCAACCCTGCGCACGCTATTTGGAAGGGTGAAAGACTGGACGGTTAAGGACCCGGGTTTGTTAATGAGGAATTGACATGCCTTTTAAAGCACCAATGGCCCACGGCTACCGAATGTCCACACTCACCTGAAACGTTTTGAATGCTTAAGGACCATTTTTGGTCTATGCACACGTGTCTAGAACTAGAGGGAAATAAATCGTGCAAATTGGGCTTCGAAAAAAAGTGACACAATCTTACTTCCCTTGCACCAGTAGTGGTATGCTACTGGTTCAGCCCGGTTCAGCCAAACCGAGAGCAAAAATTGCTATCTGTTGGGCCAAACTGGTAGTAAAAAAAACGGCCTCCGACAATCATCTGGGAGGAGAAAGAAGAGAAAAAGGCAAGATCGTCCCTCTCCCACCGGCCCCTGCGCTTTTCTCTTCTTGATCCTCTCAGCTGGTGTGAGGAAAGCTGCGTGCGTGATCCCCGAACCAGTAGTGGAACAGGTAGGATCCCGCTCCTGCCTTGCACACTTCTTCTGGGCGTACACTCCTTGTTGCAACGGAAGAAATGTTCCAGGTGAACAGAGGCAGCAATTGGGTATAAGAGCTGTGTGGGGGGGAAAAGAATTTAAATCCTGGATCCTAAGAGCTTTTTTGTTGTCACAGTATCATTTCCAACAGGTGAGAAGCACCTGAACGGTAGCCCAGGGCTGGAAAAAACCACAGGGCCATTTCCGTCTTCCTTATGGCTCTCCGTTCTTCTACCAACCGCCCCCCATGTCAAAAATCAGCCATAGGGATTTCCTATAATCTATCACATTTTCCCCCCCCAGAATTTCCAACATAAAGTCTATCAATGCAAAAATATCCATCAGCATAAAACCAGGGAGATAAATTCTATGAAAGATACAGTATGTTTTATAAATGTATAATTAAATTATGGGTGAACCATGGATGGGGGATTTTAAATGAGTTCTAATAGGTTCTAAAATGGTTCTAATGAGTTCTAAATATATATGCAGTATGTATGTATGTATGTATGTATGTATGTGTGTGGGTACACATTCGTGGGTACTTACATGTATGGCATTCAGCTTTGTTCGGGTATTTTCCCACGTCATTGTAGTTGTGCTTTTAAAGTTGTAGCGACGTTTCAGCAGAATCTCATCTGTACATACAGAAGCCTGATGATGGCAGATGAGATTCTGCTGAAACGTCGCTACAACTTTAAAAGCACAACTACAATGACGTGGGAAAATACCCGAACGAAGCTGAATGCCATATATATATGTGTGTGTGTGTGTGTGTGTGTGTGTGTGTGTGTGTGCATGTGTGTGTGTGTGTGTGTGTGTGTGTGTAATACAAAGCACTGAAGAAAAAAATGAAGTGAGAGTCCTGTAGTGAGGTTTCTTTTTAAAAGAAAAAAAAAAAGAAAAGAAAGCCATTCATGTGCTGTGGTTTGTGGTGGACGCTCGATTAATCATCCTGCTCTGAATGAAACCTCAATCTGAAACTGGATGCATTCTGAATAATTATCCCAGATTCCCAATATCAGACTCTGAAGATTTATTAATCGTTCATAGGAGAAAGATAATTTACGTTTACCGAATGTGCTACACACAGTGGCAGAATATAAGATTTCTCCTCCTTTCTGTGTGCGGGGAAGTCACAGAAATTCAGAGAGGCGGAGCAATTCCTCATGGTTAAAACTGCGCTGTGCCTCACCCCGACAAACACAGGCACACAAAAGGTGTAAAAAAAACAAAACAAAACCCCAGCACATTTTCTTTACCTTTGAATGCTTGAACAAAACAATCTCGTGCATTTTTACTCAGAGGTCGCTTGCAGGGGGTTTCCGTGAGATTTACTCCATAGTCACTATGCATTGGATAAATAATTATAAAGGCCCTTTTTTTGTATATTTGGTGAGCTTTTATCTATAACGTTTTCTTTATTTATTTGCTGTAACTGTTTGGGATTCCTTGACTTAACGACCACAATGGAGCCCAAAGTTTCCATTGCTAAAAGAGAGAGGCAGTTCAGTGACTTTTGTCCTATTTTACGACCTTTCTGGCCAAAGTTGTTAAGTGAATCACTACAATTGTTAAGTTAGTAGCACGGTTGTGATGTGAATCTGGTCCCCCTGCACAGTGACTGCTCGTCAGATGGTCACAAAAGGGGATCAGGTCACACACACATACACACACACACACACATGGGACACTACAACCGTCATAAATATGAGTCAGCCGAGCATCTGAATTTTGTCCACGGAGATGCTGCAACTGTGATTAAGTGTGAAAAATGGTCTCTACTTGTTTTCTTCCTTTCTGTGAAGACCAAACCATGGATTCTTTCTCTTTTTCCTCAAGGCAAGGGCCTCTCTTTTACATGCTTCCTGGGGGTAGCGTCAGAACCTGCGGCCTCTGGGCGAGGCTGAGCATGTCTTGTAACCTTAACAGGGCTGTTGGAGAGCAGGGGAAGTTTAGCAAAGCAGGGGCCTAATAGAACCCGCCTTGATGCCATGCACAACACAACGTCACACCAATTCCACCAAGTATGTTGTTTGCGTCGTTGTGCATTGAGGTGTGGCGTGTACGGCGTCCTCTCCTCAATAGGCTGACTATGTCTGGCCATTTTTGGGAAGGAAGAGATGCTTCCCTTTCTTACTTTATAATAATATCCCCGGGACAGAAGGTCTACCAAAAATATAGGTTCTCCGTGTTGTAGGAGAGCCTGCCAGGCAGAAAAGTTTAGTCTCCCAACTGTATCTGAAGCATCCAACGGCTTCAATGAAGACAACAGCCAAACTTCGGTCAAAAGCTTCAAAAGTTCAGCCCACTCAAGTTTAGTAGGTGGTTCCACTTGGTTTACTTTTAATTGAGTTGGTAACAGAGTTTAGCTTGGCAGCGTCTTGAATGGGTTTCAAATCAGCTCTTAGAGCAGCGTTTGCTGCGGTTCGCTGGCAACCTGTGCAGACAGCAGTGGATTCGGACAGTGGGGAAGAACAGGGACGAGTCCGGGAATCTGGGAAGGACTCGGACGAGGGTCCTGAATCTGATGCAGAGATGGGGCCAGGACCATCAGGGAGTGGTGTGCTGACTCCGGAGCCTCCAGAATCTGACAGCAATGAGGCAGAGGAACAAGGGGAGCCTGTCCCCAGTGCGCGTATGCGCAGAGCTGCTAGAAGTCGAGAGCAGCTAAGACAAAAGGGGCGACTCGGGAGTAAGGCTGGGAGGTGATTGCCCCTCCCATAAGGTATAAAGGAAGTGCAAAGGTAGGAAAACTTTTGCAGGAAGCAACATCGTTTGTTCTGATCAGTTTAGACTCTGAAAGCTTTGTGGTGAATTTGTTCTCTTGTTTGGTTTTGGAAAGACTAATTGGGACTTTAGTCATGGACAGTACTTCAAGTCAGATAAGGTGTGTTCTTATCAGACGTCTCTGGAAGAACTTTGAACCCTGGGACTAATAATAACTGGTTGAGGCTCATTCTGGGCTGTGAATGATGATCATTCACAGCCATTGAACTAGAATAAAAGAGTTTTGGATTTTATGAGTGTTTGTTGGTGTCTCAGGAAGCCACGGACAGAACAGAGCTCTCCAAATTTGGCAACTTTAAGACTTGTGGACTTCAACTCCCAGAATTCCTCAGCCAGCTGCTGGATGAGGAATTCTGGGAGTTGAAGTCCACAAGTCTTAAAGTTGCCAAGTTTGGGGACCCTTGTCTTAGAGCGAGGTGGAACTACATAGGGTATCATCCTGGCTACAGTTCACCCTCTTCAATTTTCAATGGGGATTTGAAGTGTTAGTAAGAGTATCAAAATCTCTCTTGGTGCCTCTGTCTGTAAAGAGGTATTAACAGATGTTTCCTTGAGAAGACCAGGAGCCAGTTTGGGAATTATGTGAAGACAGGGAAGGGGCTTGGTTGAACTTCAAGGCGGTCCCTGATGAGCCAATGAAAAGATTTTGTTAGCAAAATTCAGAATATAGGTAGTCCTCAGCTTACGACCACAATGGAGCCCAAAATGTCAGTCGCTGAGTGAGAGACACAGGCTGAGTGAGTTTTGCCCCATGTTTCGAGTTTTCTTGCCATAGTTGGGCAGGGGGTTGGACTATATGACCTGCAAGGTCCCTTCCAGCTCTGATTATCTGTTATCTGTTAAGTTGTTAAGGGAATCACTGCAGTTGTTGAGTTGGGGACATGGTTGTTAAATGAATCTGGCTTTCCGGTTGACTTTGCTTGGTCGCAAAACGTGACCCTGGGAAACTGCGACCGTCATAAATAGGAACCAGCTGCCAAGCAGCTGAATTTTGATCAGGTGACCTTGTGGAATGCTGCAACAGTCATAAGTGTGAAAAATGATCACAACTCACTTTTTTCAGTGCCGTCATAACTTGGAATGGTCTCTAAACGATCTCTTGTAAGTCGAGGAGTATCTGTATACATATAACTCACCTAACTGGAAAAGGAGTTCACCCTCAAGGATCATAATAATTTTGGGTGGGCCGGGAAATTATGGGTGTTCAAGGGTGAATGACGGAAACTTGATTTTAATGCAATTATTTATGTGATTAAGAAAGAGGTTTTTTTCCCTTCTTCTTCAATATTTCTCCAGAAAGTTTTAATTTAAAGACTTCCAAATTGGCTTGAATGCCGATTCTGTGGTTGGAGTTTCTGTTGTATCCCGTGTGTAGCCATATTGGTTATAAAATTGCTGCTACGAGTTCGAGCGATGCGGAAAGTCTAACCTTTGGATTTCCACTAATAAATGTCAACCTTTATTGATCTAATTGGCCTGAAATTGTATCTGTCTTCTTAATGCCCATCGG